CACAGAGGCTACAAAAGGAGACTTCTATACAAATTAGCCATCAAATGAGAAGATGATCACTAGGCTGTACATCAATTCCCATTTTGTGAAGACCCTGGCAACATCCTTGACCGCCAATCAAGTTGCAACGGTGTCCTCAACAAGTGCCTCAACTTCATCCTAATCTGATATGCCCATCAAATAAAATTGAAAATGTGCTCTCTGGCAACCCCAAGAATGTCTAACATTCTAATTTGCTTCGGATAAGACTACAGGTTAAAGATATCCACCACGTTGACATGCAATCAAGGAAATTGTTTTTGTGGCAATTATCTTCACAAGAGCTCCTTATCATAAAATGCAAGAAGCTGCTTCACATGATTATGCCAAGCTGCGACATTCTGCCCATCAACTGTAACCCAGTCAACAACTGTGGAGGCAGGTTGCTCCCACCACTCGTCTAGCTGCAGAAGTATTACACTATTTAGAAATCCATGCAGGAAAAAACAGAAATAGAAAAACAACTGCCTCTACTATCAATAATAAAAAAATGATATATATATATATATATATATAAACACACACAGGTGGTAATGGCCCTATATATGCCACTAAACAACAGAAATAGGTAAACAGCTTAAGAAATTCATCTCCATTTTCCTGGAGAATTAATTGGAATAACTCAATACGATTTCATTTGTTGGCAGGGTGGAAGAGACTGCCAGGTATCACCCGGTGGAGCTCACTGCTCCACTTTCATCATTATTGCAATAGATAAGTAATAAATTGATAGATATGACTGTTACCCTCAATGCTTTTTTTAGACACTGTCCAATACAATTAAGGGTCAGGAAAAGCAACATAAGCAACTTATTCCAAAAATTCAAGTGTCAATGTTATGGTCCCTGTTGATAAATCTTGTCATGAGGCAACTAATACCGAAATTAGTAGAAAAGAACCATTTATTTGATTTTTCTGTCTTTACCTATCTTCAGATTAAATTTAAAAGTTCATTTGGGAAAAAGAACCGTATGATCTCTAGAGTGAAAAAGTACTCTACTTAAAATAAATCTTCATACATATGATGTCTTTAACAACTGCCTTGTCTTAAAATATTACAGAAACAAGCAGTGAATTCTGGAAATACAATTTCAGAATTGCCTAAACTGCCCTTGCCTTTACAAGCCTTAGTCCTTACTTATAATATCTTCAAAACCACTCACCAACAGTACACACTTCAACATTACAAACGACACATAATAAATAGTCACATAACTATCACACAATATTTTTCTTTTTATTTCTTCTTCTATACACCTCCAGAAAAGGAACTATTTTGTTCTTAATATCACTCCCCCCTTGAAATGATGCTTGTCCTCAAGCTCAAAGTGAGGATAACGAAGAGCCACATGATCAGCAAGTTCCCAAGAAGCATCAGCCAGAGAAAAACCCTTCCAATGAATAAGGACCTCAGGCTGTCCCTTATGAGTTCTTGAAGACGATTGAGTTAGAGGAGAAGGAACATCCTGATGGATAAGAGGTAGTATAGAGGAGACAATTTGTTGGCCATGAAAAGCTTTAAGAGATGAGACATGGAAAACCAGATGTTACTTTGAAGTTGGAGGCAAGTCAAAATTGTAAGTGACCTCTCCTATCTGTTGAAGCACCTTGAAAGGCTTATAAAAGCAGGGAGACAACTTCTGCACCCATTTGCTTGCCAAGGAATCTGCCAGTATGAAGGAAGCTTCAAAAGGACCGAATAATACAAATTAAAAAACTTCCCAATGACGGCTGCGGTACACATTCATTCACTATTGAGCATGAAGTAACAGCGAAAAGTAACTGAGTCCTGAGATTTTGGGACATTGTATCACAGATGTGGAGTTCAAAATCAACCACTTTAAGTTTAGGTTATCCTAGAAAATAAGAAGTCGACGGTCTGGTCAGCAATAAATCACTTCAAATACAGTAGCCTTCAAAGAGGAACAGTACCCTGTATTATATGCATATTCTGCCCAAGAAACCCAGTGAACTCTTTGAATGGAACAGGAACCTGTGAAACACCAGAGGTACATTTCCTGTTAACAACTTCTGTCAATTAAGGATGATAGCTGAACTCAAAGCAAGTTTACTGCCACAAAGGTGAAAGAGTTCTTCCAGAAGACACTTGTGAAAATCAGATCCCAATCACTTACAATCGATGCTGGCAACCCATGGAGCTTAAAAATGTGATCAAATAAAAGTTTTGCTACTGTCATAGCAGTATAAGGATGTGAAGGGAAATGAAGTGGGCATATTTGGAAAAGTCATCAAAGACCCCGAACAACATTTTCTCCCCTGGAGGTTGGAAGCACCTCCACAAGCTTCAAGAGAAATATTGGCCTAGGCCTGATGAGGGACTGGTAATGGGTGCAATAAACCAGCAGCTATAAATATTCCATTGATAGACCATACGAGAACAGACAAAATTTTGATGTGAGATTTCATCCCCTTCCAAAGAAATCCATGTAGAGGCGCGGAAGCATCTTTTTATAGCTTTTATGAAACTGATCATGGACTGCAATCAAGAGCAAAGCACATAGGGGAGTATCAGAGTGCAGGAAGATTTTCCATTTATAAAATATCAACCCATTAACTTGCAATTATTACTCAACTCCCCTTGCAATATTCTAATAGCCCATTACTGCAGAGAAGAGGGATTTCGGACTTCTTTGGGGATACCATCAAAACAGTTAAAATATCAACCCATCCCAAACTTGCAGTTTACTCAACTCCCCCTGCAAGATTCTAATAGCCAATTGCTGCAAAGAAACAAAATTTTGCACTTCTTTGGGAATGTCACTAAAACAGTTAAGAGAAGGGATGGAAATAGCGGTACAAGCAGTGCCTTTGTCAAACAGTCGGAAAACTGCATCAGCCACCAAAATCTCTTCACTTGCTTGGTATTCTACCAGAAAATTAAATCCCAAGAATTTACTAATCCAACAATGCTGGGAAGAACTTAAGACCAGCTACTCCAATAAAAATTTGAGACTTAATAATCAGTTCTGATGCCGAATTATTGTGCCCACAAATAAGGCTGCCAATGTAAAACTACTTTGACCAATTCAATTAATTCTTTTTCATAGACAGGTGGCCTTAAGTGACGAGAAACGGAAGGCAGTTAAAGAAAGCAATGGGACGTCCTTGTTGCTGCAATGTTGCACCTATGCGCAGGTCTGATGCATGACACTGTGATGAATGGTTGAGTAAAGTCAAGAAGTGCCAACACTGGTGCAGTCAAGGAAAGGAAACTAAAATCCAAAGAAAAGTTTGTTGTTCTGAGTCTCAAAGAAACTGCTTGAAAGATGTGATTGCTTGGGATTTTCTCACCATTTGCAACCATAATACTTACTAATCTTGTTGGAGAATGGGCTGTTGTGACTCATTAGCCAAATTAACATCCAAGAAATCATTGGTGCTTCCAGAATCAATTAATACCACAAGAGGAACGTTATTAATGATTCTCCTTACCTTCATCATTCTAGCCAAACTGAATCCCAATATAGCAAGCAAAGAGATTTCAGCCTCACTCATAGATTCGGTGGACCATTCTATTCCTGGTTCTGGTGTTTCTTCAATGATCAGCGGAGGTTACTCAACTTCTGACCAAAATAGTCTTTTACGTTTATGCCCAAGGTGAAACTCCTCATCACAATTAAAACACAAATTTTGAGCACACATCCTCTCAATTGTCTACGCAAACAGTTGTTTCATCACAGGTGGTCTGGACATATTTGGCCAACTGGAAGTGCACTATTCTAGGGACAAAAAGAGCTGCGCAGGGTTTGCTTGGCTTGCGTTGCTAAAGATGCAATCGCAAGGGAAGTTTCTGTGGTGTTGCATGCTACTTGCCGCTTATAACAACCCGCCAGACACATGGCAGTTGTTAAGTCCTGTGGGTGCTGTAACTCTACTTCCAATGTAATATATTCTTTCAACCAACTAATGAAAAATTCCACTTCCTGTTCTAATGTGAGAGCATTGGCTTGCGAAGAAAATATCGAAGATGACAAAACTGTCTGTTTGAAGTCTGTCCAGGATAAATATGGCCAATCCCTCTCTAGTTTTAAAAACCAAAAACTGTGCCTCTCCCTCCAAATGAGTAGAAGCCAATGACACTTTATCCTCCTCCGCTGTTTGTTATTGACGGAAGAAATTTTCACATCTATGGATCCATGGTAAGGGATCACTGGAACTATCAAACAGGGAAAAGTCAAGTTCAGTATAACGAGACAGAAACGACCTCTCCATGTGGGGATGGTAGGCGTGTGCAGCTGTCAGATACCTTACTCGGTCTGACTTAGGCTGAAAGAAGAACAAAGGAGGAAGTAATGAGAGAGAGAGAGTTAGTTGAGAGGGAGAGACTAATTCTGAGAGAAATTTTCCTTCTTTCTCCATTCATATTCAGGCCATTCATTTATAGATCACGTTGGCGGGAAGGGGGAACATCTAACCTTCAGGCACTCCTAGAGGTTGCAACAGCCACAAGTTGCTTACAACAGATCGGGTAAAGGTAACAATCGCCCAGCCGCATTCTATCACAATGAAATGACTACCTTACCCTTGTACAAAATTACCTTTTTGCTCCTATTCAGTTTGTCCTATTTTACCCCTCTTCCTATAGTAGACTTTGAGTGGTTTGCTTGCAGCAGCAGACTAGTGCTGCGTGCCCAGAGGCAACTGTATGGCATCAGGCAGTGCCCGCAGTGGGTTCTGGTCGCTCTGGGGAACATCTTCGTTGCGCAGATGGCACGACTAGTAGTCCTTAGGATCTAGTTATGAAATTTTGGTTAATAATATGGGATTGTTAAGAGAGAAGCCAACAATTTCCGAGTGTTTAAAGTACTCAAGAAATTTTTATTCACAAATTTTTCTGCATTAAATTGAAACAGAAACAGCAAAGGGTTCTTTTAACATCATGGAGTTAGAAGCAGTTATTCTGGAAGTTAATTCCAGACAGCCAACTCCCCCTCTGTTTTCTCCCTATTTTTCTCCTACTAACATTCACCTACTTAATAAAAGTACCACAAGTAATACCTTTTGAGGTCTCTAAATCTATTTGATAATCCATACATAATACAATACATAAACACACGCAACAAATAATACTAGACATGCACCTATATACTAATTAGAAAATTATTTTTTCCTTCTCTGTTACAACCTATTAAAATGTGTTATTTTTCTAATTGCTTTCCTAACATCACTTCCCCCTTGATATGGTGTTTATCGTCAAATGCATACTTCCACTGCTGCTACAGTTTCTAGTTCTAGCATTACCAGAATTTCATAATTTCTTCATTATCGGAAGCACAGGCTTCGACTTCTGACCAGAACAACCTTTCACAGAAGCAACCTGATTCAAATTTTTCATTGCCATTAAACCACTATCCTCTTACTTGCTGACGATAAATCTCCTGAACAGATAGCCTCTTTACTATAGTGGCACATGATTCTGGAGGATGTCCAGAACTAAAATGCGGTGGTGGTTGCAGTGTGCGTCCTAGAACAGATGCATCTGAGAAAAAACGCACTCGAAGACATCTAAAACATGCTTGTTCTATTTTCATATTTTCTAGAGGCAGACTCATGGAAGTTGTTAAATCATCAGGACCATCAAACCCGGGACAATTCATTTTGTATAACGCGACAGAAAAGGATGCTCATGCTCTACACAAGCTATGGGTGCACACATAGTGCAGCATCCTGCAGAGCGTGCAAGGTAGGTGCTCTGCCTCGTGCAGATTGCACCTTGAGGGTGTCCGTGCAGATTGTTCGTTGGTTTTTTTACCGGCCTGCATTTGTTGGA